CTCTCCCCATCTCTGTGTCTCTCTCTGCGTCTCTCTCCGTGTCTCTCTCAATGTCTCTCTCCCCCGTGTCTCTCCCCGTGTCTCTCCCTCCCCGTGTCTCTCTCAGTGTCTCTGTGTCTCTCCCCTGTGTCTCTCTCCCCCGTGTCTCTCTCCCCGTGTCTCTCTCAGTGTCTCTCCCCGTGTCTCAGTGTCTCTCTCCCCGTGTCTCTCTCTGTGCAGGCCCTTGAGCTGCGTAGGCTGTGGCGAATCTCCCCGTGTCTCTCTCTGTGTCTCTCTCTGTGTCTCTCTCCGTGTCTCTCCCCGTGTCTCTCTCAGTGTCTCTCCCCGTGTCTCTCTCCCCCGTGTCTCTCTCCCCGTGTCTCTCTCTGTGCAGGCCCTTGAGCTGCGTAGGCTGTGGCGAGTCTCCCCGTGTCTCTCTCCCCCGTGTCTCTGTGTCTCTCTCCCCTGTGTCTCTCTCCCTGTGTCTCTCTCAGTGTCTCTCTCCCCCGTGTCTTTCTCCTATGTGTCTCTCTCCCCGTGTCTCTCTTTCCCCCGTGTCTCTCTCAGTGTCTCTCTCCCCGTGTCTCTGTGTCTCTCTCTCAGTCTCTCTGTGTCTCTCTCTGTGTCTCACTCTGTGCAGGCCCTTGAGCTGCGTAGGCTGTGGCGAATCTCCCCGTGTCTCTCTCTGTGTCTCTCTCTGTGTCTCTCTCCGTGTCTCTCCCCGTGTCTCTCTCAGTGTCTCTCCCCGTGTCTCTCTCCCCCGTGTCTCTCTCCCCGTGTCTCTCTCTGTGCAGGCCCTTGAGCTGCGTAGGCTGTGGCGAGTCTCCCCGTGTCTCTCTCCCCCGTGTCTCTGTGTCTCTCTCCCCTGTGTCTCTCTCCCCGTGTCTCTCTCAGTGTCTCTCTCCACGTGTCTCTCTCAGTGTCTCTCTCCGTGTCTCTCTCCCCGTGTCTCTCTCAGTGTCTCTCTCCCCGTGTCTCTGTGTCTCTCCCTCTCAGTGTCTCTGTGTCTCTCTCTGTGTCTCTCTCTGTGCAGGCCCTTGAGCTGCGTAGGCTGTGGCGAGTCTCCCCGAGGAACCACACGTTACTCAACGCCATCAACTCTGATCCCGAGCGGGGTCCAGAGCACGTGGGCAGGTGAGGAGACGCTCACCACACACACACTCACCACACACGCTCACCACACACGCTCACCACACACGCTCACCACACACACACGCTCACCACACACACACGCTCACCACACACACGCTCACCACACACACGCTCACCACACACGCTCACCACACACACACGCTCACCACACACACACGCTCACCACACACACACGCTCACCACACACACTCACCACACACACACGCTCAGCCCACACACACGCTCACCACACACACACGCTCACCACACACGCTCACCACACACACGCTCACCACACACGCTCACCACACACACGCTCACCACACACGCTCACCACACACACACGCTCAGCCCACACACACACTCACCACACACACACGCTCACCACACACACACTCACCACACACACGCTCACCACACACGCTCACCACACACACGCTCACCACACACACACTCACCACACACACGCTCACCACACACACACGCTCACCACACACACGCTCACCACACACGCTCACCACACACACACTCACCACACACACGCTCACCACACACACACGCTCACCACACACACTCACCACACACGCTCACCACACACGCTCACCACACACACACGCTCACCACACACACACGCTCACCACACACACACGCTCACCACACACACACTCACCACACACACGCTCACCACACACACGCTCACCACACACACGCTCACCACACACACACTCACCACACACGCTCACCACACACACACGCTCAGCACACACACGCTCACCACACACGCTCACCACACACACACACGCTCACCACACACACGCTCACCACACACACACGCTCACCACACACACACGCTCACCACACACACACGCTCACCACACACACGCTCACCACACACACTCACCACACACACACTCACCACACACACACTCACCACACACACGCTCACCACACACACGCTCACCACACACACGCTCACCACACACACGCTCACCACACACACGCTCACCACACACAACACACGCTCACCACACACACGCTCACCACACACGCTCACCACACACACGCTCACCACACACGCTCACCACACACACGCTCACCACACACGCTCACCACACACACGCTCACCACACACGCTCACCACACACACTCACCACACACGCTCACCACACACACACGCTCACCACACACACGCTCACCACACACACGCTCACCACACACACGCTCACCACACACACGCTCACCACACACACACTCACCACACACGCTCACCACACACACACGCTCACCACACACACGCTCACCACACACACGCTCACCACACACACGCTCACCACACACACGCTCACCACACACACACGCTCACCACACACACGCTCACCACACACACGCTCACCACACACACACGCTCACCACACACACACTCAGCACACACGCTCACCACACACACGCTCACCACACACACTCACCACACACACGCTCACCACACACACACTCACCACACACACTCACCACACACACGCTCACCACACACACGCTCACCACACACACTCACCACACACACGCTCACCACACACACGCTCACCACACACACGCTCACCACACACACGCTCACCACACACGCTCACCACACACGCTCACCACACACACACGCTCACCACACACACGCTCACCACACACGCTCACCACACACGCTCACCACACACGCTCACCACACACACGCTCACCACACACACGCTCACCACACACACTCACCACACACACGCTCACCACACACACACGCTCACCACACACACGCTCACCACACACGCTCACCACACACGCTCACCACACACACACGCTCACCACACACACTCACCACACACGCTCACCACACACGCTCACCACACACACACGCTCACCACACACACGCTCACCACACACACACACTCACCACACACACACTCACCACACACACACTCACCACACACACACGCTCACCACACACACACGCTAACCACACACACACGCTCACCACACACACGCTCCACACACACACGCTCACCACACACGCTCACCACACACACGCTCACCACACACACGCTCACCACACACACACTCACCACACACGCTCACCACACACACGCTCACCACACACACACTCACCACACACACGCTCACCACACACACTCACCACACACACGCTCACCACACACACACACTCACCACACACACTCACCACACACACACGCTCACCACACACACGCTCACCACACACACACGCTCACCACACACACTCACCACACACACTCACCACACACACGCTCACCACACACACACACTCACCACACACACGCTCACCACACACACTCACCACACACACGCTCACCACACACACTCACCACACACACGCTCACCACACACGCTCACCACACACGCTCACCACATACACGCTCACCACACACACTCACCACACACACGCTCACCACACACGCTCACCACACACGCTCACCACATACACGCTCACCACACACACGCTCACCACACACACGCTCACCACACACACGCTCACCACACACACGCTCACCACACACACGCTCACCACACACACACGCTCACCACACACGCTCACCACACACACGCTCACCACACACACGCTCACCACACACACACGCTCACCACACACACTCACCACACACACTCACCACACACACGCTCACCACACACACACACTCACCACACACACGCTCACCACACACACGCTCACCACACACACACTCACCACACACACTCACCACACACACTCACCACACACACACTCACCACACACACACTCACCACACACACACTCACCACACACACGCTCACCACACACGCTCACCACACACACGCTCACCACACACACACGCTCACCACACACGCTCACCACACACACGCTCACCACACGCTCACCACACACACGCTCAGCCCACACACGCTCACCACACACACGCTCAGCCCACACACGCTCACCACACACACGCTCACCACACACACGCTCACCACACACACTCACCACACACGCTCACCACACACACACACTCACCACACACACACACACTCACCACACACACACACTCACCACACACACACTCACCACACACACACACACTCACCACACACACGCTCACCACACACACTCACCACACACGCTCACCACACACACACGCTCACCACACACGCTCACCACACACACGCTCACCACACACACGCGCACCACACACACGCTCACCACACACACACACTCACCACACACACTCACCACACACACACTCACCACACACGCTCACCACACACACTCACCACACACACACTCACCACACACACGCTCACCACACACACGCTCACCACACACACGCTCACCACACACGCTCACCACACACGCTCACCACACACACACGCTCACCACACACACGCTCACCACACACGCTCACCACACACACACGGTCACCACACACACGCTCACCACACACACACGCTCACCACACACACTCACCACACACACGCTCACCACACACACTCACCACACACACGCTCACCACACACACACGCTCACCACACACACGCTCACCACACACACACGCTCACCACACACACACTCACCACACACACACGCTCACCACACACACGCTCAGCACACACACACTCACCACACACGCTCACCACACACGCTCACCACACACACACGCTCAGCACACACACACGCTCACCACACACACACGCTCACCACACACACGCTCACCACACACGCTCACCACACACACACGCTCACCACACACACACACTCACCACACACACGCTCACCACACACACACGCTCACCACACACACGCTCACCACACACGCTCACCACACACGCTCACCACACACACACGCTCAGCACACACACGCTCACCACACACACTCACCACACACACACGCTCACCACACACACGCTCACCACACACACGCTCACCACACACACGCTCACCACACACACACGCTCACCACACACACTCACCACACACACGCTCACCACACACACTCACCACACACACGCTCACCACACACACACGCTCACCACACACACGCTCACCACACACACACGCTCACCACACACACACTCACCACACGCTCACCACACACGCTCACCACACACACGCTCACCCCAAACACGCTCACCCACTCACCCAGGCGCTCACCCACTTACCCAGACGCTCACCCACACGCTCACCCACCCGCTCACCAGACGCTCACCCACACGCTCACCCACCCACTCACCCACCCGCTCACCACACGCTCACCCACACGCTCACCCACCCGCTTACCCACACGCTCACCTTTGCCACTCCCCAGTGCTTGCGATGTTTACTACACTTCACCGCTGCAACAGATACACACACACTAACACACACACACATCTGGGTGTGTGTATTAGTGTGTGTGTACGTGTGTGTATATGTGTGGTGTGCGTGTTAGTGTGTGTGTGTACGTGTGTGTATATGTGTGTGTGTGTGTGTGGTGTGCGTGTTAGTGTGTGTGTACGTGTGTGTATATGTGTGTGTGTGGTGTTAGTGTGTGTGTACGTGTGTGTATATGTGTGTGTGTGGTGTTAGTGTGTGTGTACGTGTGTATATATGTGTGTGTGTGGTGTGCGTGTTAGTGTGTGTGTACGTGTGTGTACGTGTCCGTGTGTGCCACCCACCCCCTCTGTGTGTGCCACAGTGCCGATAGCCTTCGTAGGCACTGCTGCCGCTCGCGAGCTAACAGCACTTGCCCCCACAGTCTGATGAAGGCTACGCCGGGGGGTTCTTTTGCCTTTGTAGGTGCCTGGCCCACTCTCTAGGCCTCGCCTGGTCCGAGTACTGGGACTTCCTCGGAACCTTTCTGGACCTCGGCTCGGCCGAGGGACTCGCCACTTTGGAGGCTTATCTCCGTGGCAACCGCCGTGGCAACGGTAAGCCGGCCGTCGGCAACCGGCAAACCGGCATCGCCACGGCAACCGCACTGCACCGTAGACTCAGCACTGCACCATAGACTCAACACTGCACCATAGACTCAACACTGCTCCATAGACTCAACACTGCACCATAGACTCGGCACTGCACCATAGACTCAGCACTGCACAATAGACTCAGCACTGCACCATGGACTCATCACTGCACCATAGACTCAGCACTGCACCATAGACTCAACACTGCACCATAGACTCAGCACTGCACCATAGACTCAACACTGCACTATACACTCAACACTGCACCATAGACTCAGCACTGCCCCATAGACTCAACACTGCACCATAGACTCAACACTGCACCATAGACTCAACACTGCACCATAGACTCAGCACTGTACTATAGACTCAGCACTGCACCATAGACTCAGCACTGCACCATAGACTCAACACTGCACCATAGACTCAACACTGCACCATAGACTCAGCACTGCACCATAGACTCAACACTGCACAGTAAACTCAGCACTGCACCATAGACTCAACACTGCTCCATAGACTCAACACTGCACCATAGACTCAACACTGCACCATAGACTCAACACTGCACCATAGACTCAACACTGCACCATAGACTCAACACTGCACCATAGACTCAGCACTGCACCACAGACTCAGCACTGCACCATAGACTCAACACTGCACCATAGACTCAACACTGCACCATAGACTCAACACTGCACCATAGACTCAGCACTGCACCATAGACTCAGCACTGCACCATAGACTCAGCACTGCACCATAGACTCAACACTGCACCATAGACTCAACACTGCACCATAGACTCAGCACTGCACCATAGACTCAGCACTGCACCATAGACTCAGCACTGCACCATAGACTCAGCACTGCACCATAGACTCAGCACTGCACCATAGACTCAACACTGCACCATAGACTCAGCACTGCACCATAGACTCAACACTGCACCATACACTCAACACTGCACCATAGACTCAGCACTGCCCCATAGACTCAACACTGCACCATAGACTCAACACTGCACCATAGACTCAACACTGCACCATAAACTCAACACTGCACCATAGACTCAGCACTGTACCATAGACTCAGCACTGCACCATAGACTCAGCACTGCACCATAGACTCAACACTGCACCATAGACTCAACACTGCACCATAGACTCAACACTGCACCATAGACTCAGCACTGCACCATAGACTCAGCACTGCACCATAGACTCAACACTGCCCCATAGACTCAACACTGCACCATAGACTCAACACTGCACCATAGACTCAACACTGCACCATAGACTCAACAGTGCACCTTAGACTCAACACTGCACCATGGACTCAACACTGCACCATAGACTCAACACTGCACCTTAGACTCAACACTGCACCATGGACTCAACACTGCCCCATAGACTCAACACTGCACCATAGACTCAACACTGCACCATAGACTCAGCACTGTACCATAGACTCAGCACTGTACCATAGACTCAACACTGCACCATAGACTAGTCCTCGGCAAGGTAAGGTAAAAGGTAAAAACAACGAGCCTACCTTTACCCTACCTTTCACCTTACCCCAAATACAATCACTCTACCCTTCAGCAGGTAAGGTAAAAGGTTAAAAACAACGAGCCTACCTTTACCCTACCTTTTACCCTTACCCCATACAAATGACCCGATTACAGGGTAATTACTGTGGTTATTACTACAACACATGAACAACGTTTGTAACAGGTAAAGCGCTTAATTAATATAGATTCCTCTCGATTATTCCAATTTTACACGCTTGTTGTAGTTGTTGTGTCCTCAAATATTGTAACTCAATTTTAACCCACTACTTCCCAATGTGGTTTCGACTGCGAACGTGGTTCTGCTTAAATTTTGATTCGAAGCTTTCGTGACTGCGGTAATTCATATTCTTGGCTCTTTCGGTAAAGTCACGTTGAAGGGAAACAGTGAAATAATAAAATACAACATATAAAACAATAAAAAAAATTCTCACGACGTTTCGACCATAACACAAACGGTCATCATCAGGTGTGATGATGACCGTTTGTGTGATGATGACCGTTTGTGTTACGGTCGAAACGTCGTGAGAATTTTTATTGTTTTATATGTATTTTATTATTTTATTGTTTCCCTTCAACGTGACTTTACCGAAAGAGCTAACAATTTGGTTATACTTACGTCATAGTGATGACAGTGCTATATTACGTCGTTAAAAATAAACGAAAAAATATTTGTAAACATTCCCTTTGACACGTTACCTTTCGGCTTGGGTCTTAATTGCCCACGCTCAACAGACGTTGGCTGCGATTGGCCACGGGGCGAGCTTCCGGGCCACTTCCTGGAGTCGTGGAGTTTCTTACATTGCTCGCGCGTTTGATAAAAGCGTGTTTTTGTTAAAAAAAAAGTTTTTAACCAAAATATTACTTTTGATTTAAAGCTTTCGTGACTGCAGTAATTCATATTCTTAGTTTTTTCGGTAAAGTCACGTTGAAGAGAAACAACAAAATAACAAAATATATATATTTTGTTGAAGAGAAACAACAAAATAACAAAATATATATATATTTTGTTATTTTGTTGTTTCTCTTCAACGTGATTTTACTGAAAAAACTAAGAATATAAAATATTACTTGTTAAATGGAGGCCACGGACTTTGCCACGGAGCTTTCAGCGGTAAACAAGGGCACCGTATTTACCGGGTTAACGTTTCGCGCTGTTTATAGCGGTAAACAAGGCACCGTATTTACCGGGTTAACGCTTCACCGCTGTTTCTAGCGGTGAACAAGGGCACCGTGTTTACCGGGTTAACGCTTGGCGCTGTTTCTAGCGGTGAACAAGGGCACCGTATTTACCGGGTTAACGCTTGCCGCTGTTTCTAGCGGTGAACAAGGGCACCGTATTTACCGGGTTAACGCTTCACCGCTGTTTCTAGCGGTGAACAAGGGCACCGTGTTTACCGGGTTAACGCTTGGCGCTGTTTCTAGCGGTGAACAAGGGCACCGTATTTACCGGGTTAACGCTTGGCGCTGTTTCTAGCGGTGAACAAGGGCACCGTGTTTACCGGGTTAACGCTTGGCGCTGTTTCTAGCGGTGAACTAGGGCACCGTATTTACCGGGTTAACGCTTGGCGCTGTTTCTAGCGGTAAACTAGGGCACCGTATTTACCGGGTTAACGTTTGGCGCTGTTTCTAGCGGTAAACAAGGGCACCGTATTTACCGGGTTAACGCTTGGCACTGTTTCTAGCGGTAAACAAGGTCACCGTATTTACCGGGTTAACGTTTGGCGCTATTTCTAGCGGTGAACTAGGGCACCGTATTTACCGGGTTAACGCTTGGCGCTGTTTCTAGCGGTAAACAAGGTCACCGTATTTTACCGGGTTAACGCTTCGCGCTACCTTTACCCTACCGGGTAATTAGACCGAGCTGCCTTTACCCTACCCTTTACCCCTTGACATGTCGACACCTTTACCTTTAACCCGGTAAAAAGGGTAAATTACCTCGCCTCGCCGAGGCCTACGTGAAATGCACAGACCACATCGGATCATCGTCATCGTCGTCGTCATCAATGACGCCCTTTGCCGCGTGCGCAAGACTCCTTCGCAGGCAACGGCAGTTCTCCATGGACAACATCATCATCATCAGCAGCAGCATCATCATCAGCAGCAGCATCAGCAGCAGCAGCAGCAGCGGCAGCGTCGCCACCGCGATCGGGCGTGGAGCGACCGGGCAGGAAACGTTCCGTCGCGACCAACCTCACCGACACATTCAACAAACTCGCCGCAGCATCAGCAGCAGCAGCAGCATCAGCATCATCATCAGCATCATCATCAGCAGCAGCAACAGCATCGGGGGATTTGGACAAGCCTGGGACCGTCTCCAACGGCCGAGAGGGATCGGGATGCGCGACAGATTTGGGAACGACTTCCCAGTCGTCGATGGAATCCGGACAGGAGGCGGTGGAGGCGGTGGAGGATGACGACGACGATGATGATGATGATGAGGAGGGATGGAAGACTCCACCAGAGAGCCCGGCTTACGAGACTCCTCCGGAAAGTCCCGAGAAACTCCCCGCGGCCTGCGGCGGCGATGGTGGCGATGTTGGCGGCGATGGTGACGATGGTGGCGGTGATGGTGGCGATGATGGCGGTGATGGTGATGATGTTGGCGGCGATGGTGGCGATGATGGTGATGTTGGCGATGGTGGTGATGTTGGTGGTGATGGTGGTGGTGATGTTAGCGATGGTGGTGACGATGGTGGTGGTGATGTTGGCGATGGTGGCGATGTTGGCGATGATAGTGACGATGGTGGTGGTGATGTTGGCGATGGTGGCGATGGTGGCGATGAGAGGGTGGAGGAGAGCGATGGAGGCAAACCGCTTCTCTATCTGCTAGGGTGAGCCGCCATCTCTCTCCCCGTGTCTCTCTCTCTACACCCGTGTCTCTCTCCCCGTGTCTCTCTCCCCGTGTCTCTCTCTCCGTGTCTCTCTACACCCGTGTCTCTCTACACCCGTGTCTCTCTCCCCGTGTCTCTCTCTCCGTGTCTCTCTCTCCGTGTCTCTCTACACCCGTGTTTCTCTCTCTCTACACCCATGTCTCTCTCCCCGTGTCTCTCTCCCCGTGTCTCTCTACACCCGTGTCTCTCTCCCCGTGTCTCTCTCCCCGTGTCTCTCTCTCCGTGTCTCTCTCTCCGTGTCTCTCTCTCTCTACACCTGTGTCTCTCTCTCTCTCTACACCCGTGTCTCTCTCTCTCTACACCCGTGTCTCTCTCTCTCTACACCCGTGTCTCTCTCTCTCTACACCCGTGTCTCTCTCTACACCCGTGTCTCTCTCTACACCCGTGTCTCTCTCTCTCTACACCCGTGTCTCTCTCTCTCTACACCCGTGTTTCTCTCTCTCTACACCCATGTCTCTCTCCCCGTGTCTCTCTCCCCGTGTCTCTCTCTCTCTCTACACCCGTGTCTCTCTCTCTCTACACCCGTGTCTCTCTCTACACCCGTGTTTCTCTCTCTCTACACCCATGTCTCTCTCCCCGTGTCTCTCTCTCTCTACACCCGTGTCTCTCTCTCTCTACACCCGTGTCTCTCTCTCTCTACACCCGTGTTTCTCTCCCCGTGTCTCTCTCTACACCCGTGTCTCTCTCTACACCCGTGTCTCTCTCTACACCCATGTCTCTCTCTACACCCGTGTCTCTCTCTACACCCGTGTCTCTCTCTCTCTACACCCGTGTCTCTCTCTCTCTACACCCGTGTTTCTCTCTCTCTACACCCATGTCTCTCTCCCCGTGTCTCTCTCCCCGTGTCTCTCTCTCTCTACACCCGTGTCTCTCTCTCTCTACACCCGTGTCTCTCTCCTCGTGTCTCTCTCTACACCCGTGTCTCTCTCTACACCCGTGTCTCTCTCTCTCTACACCCGTGTCTCTCTCTCTCTACACCCGTGTCTCTCTCCCCGTGTCTCTCTCCCCGTGTCTCTCTCTTAGTGTCTCTCTCTCTCTACACCCGTGTCTCTCTCCCCGTGTCTCTCTCTCTGTGTCTCTCTCTCTCTACACCCGTGTCTCTCTCCCCGTGTCTCTCTCTCTCTACACCCGTGTCTCTCTCCCCGTGTCTCTCTCTCTACACCCGTGTCTCTCTCCCCATGTCTCCCTCACCGTGTCTCACTCCCCGTGTCTCTCTCACCGTGTCTCTCCGTGTCTCTCTCCCTGTGTCTCTCTCTCCCCGTGTCTCTCTCACCGTGTCTCCCTTCCCGTGTCTCTCTCCCCTTGTCTCTCTCCCCGTGTCTCTCTCTCCCCGTGTCTCTCTCCGTGTCTCTCTCTCCCCGTGTCTCTCTCTCCCCGTGTCTCTCTCTCCCCGTGTCTCTCTCTCCCCGTGTCTCTCTCCCCGTGCCTCTCTCTCCCCGTGTCTCTCTCTCCCCGTGTCTCTCTCTCCGTGTATCTCTTCCCGTGTCTCTCTCCCCCCGTGTCTCTCTCTCCCCGTGTCTCTCTCCCCTTTGGCTCTCTCCCCGTGTCTCTCTCTCCCCGTGTCTCTCTCTCCCCGTGTCTCTCTCTCCCCGTGTCTCTCTCTCCGTGTATCTCTCCCCGTGTCTCTCTCTCCCCGTGTCTCTCTCCCCCCGTGTCTCTCTCTCCCCGTGTCTTTCTCTCCCCGTGTCTCTCCCTCACCGTGTCTCTCCCTCACCGTGTCTCTCTCCCCGTGTCTCTTTCCCCGTGTCTCTCCCTCACCGTGTCTCCCTCTCCGTGTCTCTCTCCCTGTGTCTCTCTCCCCGTGTCTCTCTCTCATGTCTCCCCGTGTCTCTCTCCCCGTGTCTCCCTCCACGTGTCTCTCTCTCCGTGTCTCCCTCACCGTGTCTCTCTCACCATGTCTCTCTCACCGTGTCTCTCCGTGTCTCTCTCCCCGTGTCTCTCTCTCCCCGTGTCTCTCTCTACACCCGTGTCTCTCTCCCCGTGTCTCTCTCCCCGTGTCTCTCTCTCCGTGTCTCTCTCTCTACACCCGTGTCTCTCTCCCCGTGTCTCTCTCTCTCTACACCCGTGTCTCTCTCTCTCTACACCCGTGTCTCTCTCCCCGTGTCTCTCTCCCCGTGTCTCTCCCCGTTTCTCTCTCCCCGTGTCTCTGTACCCGTGTCTCTCTCCCCGTGTCTCTCTCACCGTGTCTCTCCGTGTCTCTCTCCCTGTGTCTCTCTCTCCCCGTGTCTCTCTCACCGTGTCTCCCTTCCCGTGTCTCTCTCCCCTTGTCTCTCTCCCCGTGTCTCTCTCTCCCCGTGTCTCTCTCTCCGTGTCTCTCTCTCCCCGTGTCTCTCTCTCCCCGTGTCTCTCTCTCCCCGTGTCTCTCTCTCCCCGTGTCTCTTTCCCCGTGCCTCTCTCTCCCCGTGTCTCTCTCTCCCCGTGTCTCTCTCTCCCCGTGTCTCTCTCTCCCCGTGTCTCTCTCCCCGTGTCTCTCTCCCCCCGTGTCTCTCTCTCCCCGTGTCTCTCTCTCCCCGTGTCTCTCTCTCCCGTGTCTCTCTCTCCGTGTATCTCTCCCCGTGTCTCTCTCTCCCCGTGTCTCTCTCCCCCCGTGTCTCTCTCTCCCCGTGTCTCTCTCTCCCCGTGTCTCTCCCTCACCGTGTCTCTCCCTCACCGTGTCTCTCTCCCCGTGTCTCTTTCCCCGTGTCTCTCCCTCACCGTGTCTCCCTCTCCGTGTCTCTCTCCCTGTGTCTCTCTCCCCGTGTCTCTCTCTCATGTCTCCCCGTGTCTCTCTCCCCGTGTCTCCCTCCGCGTGTCTCTCTCTCCGTGTCTCCCTCACCGTGTCTCTCTCCCCGTGTCTCTCTCACCGTGTCTCTCCGTGTCTCTCTCCCCGTGTCTCTCTCTCCCCGTGTCTCTCTCTACACCCGTGTCTCTCTCCCCGTGTCTCTCTCTCCGTGTCTCTCTCTCTCTACACCCGTGTCTCTCTCCCCGTGTCTCTCTCTCTCTCTACACCCGTGTCTCTCTCTCTCTACACCCGTGTCTCTCTCCCCGTGTCTGTCTCCCCGTGTCTCTTTCCCCGTGTCTCTCCCCGTTTCTCTCTCCCCGTGTCTCTGTACCCGTGTCTCTCTCCCCGTGTCTCTCTCTCCCCGTGTCTCTCTCACCGTGTCTCCCTTCCCGTGTCTCTCTCCCCTTGTCTCTCTCCCCGTGTCTCTCTCCCCGTGTCTCTCTCTCCGTGTCTCTCTCTCCGTGTCTCTCTCCCCGTGTCTCTCTCCCCCCGTGTCTCTCTCTCCCCGTGTCTCTCTCTCCCCGTGTCTCTCTCCCCGTGTCTCTCTCTCCCCGTGTCTCTTTCCCCGTGTCTCCCTCCGCGTGTCTCTCTCTCCATGTCTCCCTCACCGTGTCTCTCTCCCCGTGTCTCTCTCACCGTGTCTCTCCGTGTCTCTCTCCCTGTGTCTCTCCCCGTGTCTCTCACCGTGTCTCCCTTCCCGTGTCTCTCTCCCCTTGTCTCTCTCCCCGTGTCTCTCTCTCCCCGTGTCTCTCTCTCCGTGTCTCTCTCTCCGTGTCTCTCTCTCCGTGTATCTCTCCCCGTGTCTCTCTCCCCCCGTGTCTCTCTCTCCCCCTGTCTCTCTCTCTCCCCGTGTCTCTCTCTCTCCCCGTGTCTCTCTCTCCCCGTGTCTCTCTCCCCGTGCCTCTCTCTCCCCGTGTATCTCTCCCCATGTCTCCCCGTGTCTCTCCCTCACCGTGCCTCTCCCTCACCGTGTCTCTCTCACCGTGTCTCTCCCTCACCGTGTCTCTCCCTCACCGTGTCTCTCTCCCCGTGTCTCTCTCTCCCCGTGTCTCTTTCCCCGTGTCTCTCCCTCACCGTGTCTCCCTCTCCGTGTCTCTCTCCCTGTGTCTCTCCCCGTGTCTCTCTCTCATGTCTCCCCGTGTCTCTCTCCCCGTGTCTCCCTCCGCGTGTCTCTCTCTCCGTGTCTCCCTCACCGTGTCTCTCTCCCCGTGTCTCTCTCCCCGTGTCTCTCTCCCCGTGTCTCTCTCACCGTGTCTCTCCGTGTCTCTCTCACCGTGTCTCTCCGTGTCTCTCTCCCCGTGTCTCTCTCTCCCCGTGTCTCTCTCCCTGTGTCTCTCTCCCCGTGTCTCCCTCCCCGTGTCTCTCTCTCCGTGTCTCTCTCCCCATGTCTCCCCGTGTCTCTCCTTCACCGTGTCTCCCTCCCCGTGTCTCTCTCTCTCCCCGTGTCTCTCCCTCACCCTGTCTCTCTCCCCATGTCTCCCCGTGTCTCTCTCCCCGTGTCTCTCCCTCACCGTGTCTCTCCGTGTCTCTCTCCCCGTGTCTCTCCCTCCCCGTGTCTCTCTCTCCGTGTCTCCCTCCCCGTGTCTCTCTCTCCGTGTCTCTCTCCCCATGTCTCCCCGTGTCTCTCCTTCACCGTGTCTCCCTCCCCGTGTCTCTCTCTCTCCCCGTGTCTCTCCCTCACCCTGTCTCTCTCCCCATGTCTCCCCGTGTCTCTCTCCCCGTGTCTCTCCCTCACCGTGTCTCCCCGTGTCTCTCTCCCCGTGTCTCTCCCTCACCGTGTCTCCCTCACCGTGTCTCCCTCCCCGTGTCTCTCTCTCTCTCTCCCTGTGTCTCTCCCTCACCCTGTCTCTCTCCCCATGTCTCCCCGTGTCTCTCTCCCCGTGTCTCTCCCTCACCGTGTCTCCCCGTGTCTCTCTCCCCGTGTCTCTCCCTCACCGTGTCTCCCCGTGTCTCTCTCCCCGTGTCTCTCCCTCACCGTGTCTCCCTCCCCGCGTCTCTCCCTCACCGTGTCTCCCTCCCCGTGTCTCTCTCTCTCTCCCCGTGTCTCTCCCTCACCCTGTCTCTCTCCCCGTGTCTCTCCCTCACCGTGTCTCTCCGTGTCTCTCTCCCCATGTCTCTCCCTCACCGTGTCTCTCCGTGTCTCTCTCCCCGTGTCTCTCTCTCCCCGTGTCTCTCCCTCACCCTGTCTCTCTCCCCATGTCTCCCCGTGTCTCTCTCCCCGTGTCTCTCCCTCACCGTGTCTCTCTCCCCGTGTCTCTCCCTCACCGTGTCTCTCTCCCCGCGTCTCTCTCTCACCGACCCCGTGTGTTCACCAGGGACGTGCCGTCCAAGCTGGACCAGGATGTTTTGATTGCCGTGGGCGACGCTCCGCTCGATCGCTCCCGGTTACCGCTCGTGTCGGCGTGGCAACGGCGGGTGCTCAACCACAGCCTGGACCAGCGACAGCAGTGAGTGAGCCACAGCTCTGGCTCAGTGTCAATCACTGATGCTCACAGAGCCAGACTGAGGCTCCCACAGGGTTCAGTGTTAATCACTGAGGCTCACAGAGCCAGACTGAGGCTCCCACAGGGTTCAGTGTCAATCACTGAGGCTCACAGAGCCAGACTGAGGCTCCCACAGGGTTCATTGTCAATCACTGAGGCTCACAGAGCCAGACTGAGGCTCCCACAGGGTTCAGTGTTAATCACTGAGACTCACAGAGCCAGACTGAGGCTCCCACAGGGTTCAGTGTCAATCACTGAGGCTCCCACAGGGTTCAGTGTCAATCACTGAGGCTCACAGAGCCAGACTAAGGCTCCCACAGGGTTCAATGTTAATCACTGAGACTCACAGAGCCAGACTAAGGCTCCCACAGGGTTCAGTGTTAATCACTGAGACTCACAGAGCCAGACTGAGGCTCCCACAGGGTTCAGTGTCAATCACTGAGGCTCACAGAGCCAGACTAAGGCTCCCACAGGGTTCAATGTCAATCACTGAGGCTCACAGAGCCAGACTGAGGCTCCCACAGGGTTCAGTGTTAATCACTGAGGCTCCCACAGGGTTCAGTGTCAATCACTGAGGCTCCCACAGGGTTCAGTGTCAATCACTGAGGCTCACAGAGCCAGACTAAGGCTCCCACAGGGTTCAATGTTAATCACTGAGACTCACAGAGCCAGACTAAGGCTCCCACAGGGTTCAGTGTTAATCACTGAGACTCACAGAGCCAGACTGAGGCTCCCACAGGGTTCAGTGTCAATCACTGAGACTCACAGAGCCAGACTGAGGCTCCCACAGGGTTCAGTGTTAATCACTGAGACTCACAGAGCCAGACTGAGGCTCCCACAGGGTTCAGTGTCAATCACTGAGGCTCCCACAGGGTTCAGTGTCAATCACTGAGGCTCACAGAGCCAGACTAAGGCTCCCACAGGGTTCAATGTTAATCACTGAGACTCACAGAGCCAGACTAAGGCTCCCACAGGGTTCAGTGTTAATCACTGAGACTCACAGAGCCAGACTGAGGCTCCCACAGGGTTCAGTGTCAATCACTGAGGCTCACAGAGCCAGACTAAGGCTCCCACAGGGTTCAATGTCAATCACTGAGGCTCACAGAGCCAGACTGAGGCTCCCACAGGGTTCAGTGTTAATCACTGAGGCTCCCACAGGGTTCAGTGTCAATCACTGAGGCTCCCACAGGGTTCAGTGTCAATCACTGAGGCTCACAGAGCCAGACTAAGGCTCCCACAGGGTTCAATGTTAATCACTGAGACTCACAGAGCCAGACTAAGGCTCCCACAGGGTTCAGTGTTAATCACTGAGACTCACAGAGCCAGACTGAGGCTCCCACAGGGTTCAGTGTCAATCACTGAGACTCACAGAGCCAGACTGAGGCTCCCACAGGGTTCAATGTCAATCACTGAGGCTCCCACAGGGTTCAGTGTCAATCACTGAGGCTCACAGAGCCAGACTGAGGCTCCCACAGGGTTCAGTGTCAATCACTGAGACTCACAGAGCCAGACTGAGGCTCCCACAGGGTTCAGTGTCAATCACTGAGGCTCACAGAGCCAGACTAAGGCTCCCACAGGGTTCAATGTCAATCACTGAGGCTCACACAGGGTTCAATGTCAATCACTGAGGCTCACACAGGGTTCAGTGTCAATCACTGAGGCTCACAGAGCCAGACTAAGGCTCCCACAGGGTTCAATGTTAATCACTGAGACTCACAGAGCCAGACTGAGGCTCCCACAGGGTTCAGTGTCAATCACTGAGGCTCACAGAGCCAGACTAAGGCTCCCACAGGGTTCAGTGTCAATCACTGAGGCTCCCACAGGGTTCAATGTTAATAACTGAGGCTCACAGAGCCAGACTGAGGCTCCCACAGGGTTCAGTGTCAATCACTGAGGCTCACTGAGCCAGACTAAGGCTCCCACAGGGTTCAGTGTCAATCACTGAGGCTCCCACAGGGTTCAATGTTAATCACTGAGGCTCACAGAGCCAGACTGAGGCTCCCACAGGGTTCAGTGTCAATCACTGAGGCTCGCTGAGCCAGACTAAGGCTCCCACAGGGTTCAGTGTCCATCACTGAGACTCACAGAGCCAGACTGAGGCTCCCACAGGGTTCAGTGTTAATCACTGAGACTCACAGAGCCAGACTGAGGCTCCCACAGGGTTCAGTGTTAATCACTGAGACTCACAGAGCCAGACTGAGGCTCCCACAGGGTTCAGTGTTAATCACTGAGGCTCACAGAGCCAGACTAAGGCTCCCACAGGGTTCAGTGTCAATCACTGAGGCTCACAGAGCCAGACTGAGGCTCCCACAGGGTTCAGTGTTAATCACTGAGACTCACAGAGCCAGACTGAGGCTCCCACAGGGTTCAGTGTTAATCACTTAGGCTCACAGAGCCAGACTGAGGCTCCCACAGGGTTCAGTGTCAATCACTGAGACTCACAGAGCCAGACTGAGGCTCCCACAGGGTTCAGTGTTAATCACTGAGGCTCACAGAGCCAGACTAAGGCTCCCACAGGGTTCAGTGTTAATCACTGAGACTCACAGAGCCAGACTGAGGCTCCCACAGGGTACACTGTCAATCACTGAGGCTCCCACAGGGTTCAGTGTTAATCACTGAGGCTCACAGAGCCAGACTGAGGCTCCCACAGGGTTCAATGTCAATCACTGAGGCTCACTGAGCCAGACTAAGGCTCCCACAGGGTTCAGTGTTAATCACTGAGGCTCACAGAGCCAGACTGAGGCTCCCACAGGGTTCAGTGTCAATCACTGAGGTTCACAGAGCCAGACTAAGGCTCCCACAGAGTTCAATGTCAATCACTGAGGCTCACACAGGGTTCAGTGTCAATCACTGAGGCTCACAGAGCCAGACTAAGGCTCCCACAGGGTTCAATGTTAATCACTGAGACTCACAGAGCCAGACTGAGGCTCCCACAGGGTTCAGTGTTAATCACTGAGGCTCACAGAGCCAGACTGAGGCTCCCACAGGGTTCAGTGTCAATCACTGAGGCTCACAGAGCCAGACTGAGGCTCCCACAGGGTTCAGTGTTAATCACTGAGACTCACAGAGCCAGACTGAGGCTCCCACAGGGTTCAGTGTCAATCACTGAGGCTCCCACAGGGTTCAGTGTCAATCACTGAGACTCACAGAGCCAGACTGAGGCTCCCACAGGGTTCAGTGTTAATCACTGAGGCTCACAGAGCCAGACTGAGGCTCCCACAGGGTACAGTGTCAATCACTGAGGCTCACAGAGCCAGACTGAGGCTCCCACAGGGTTCAGTGTTAATCACTGAGACTCACAGAGCCAGACTGAGGCTCCCACAGGGTTCAATGTCAATCACTGAGGCTCACAGAGCCAGACTGAGGCTCCCACAGGGTTCAGTGTTAATCACTGAGGCTCACAGAGCCAAACTGAGGCTCCCACAGGGTTCAGTGTTAATCACTGAGACTCACAGAGCCAGACTGAGGCTCCCACAGGGTTCAGTGTTAATCACTGAGGCTCACTGAGCCAGACTAAGGCTCCCACAGGGTTCAGTGTTAATCACTGAGGCTCACAGAGCCACACTAAGGCTCCCACAGGGTTCAGTGTTAATCACTGAGACTCACAGAGCCAGACTGAGGCTCCCACAGGGTTCAGTGTCAATCACTGAGACTCACAGAGCCAGACTAAGGCTCACAGAGCCAGACTAAGGCTCACTGAGCCAGACTAAGGCTCACTGAGCCAGACTAAGGCTCACTGAGCCAGACTAAGGCTCCCACAGGGTTCAGTGTTAGTCACTGAGGCTCACAGAGCCAGACTGAGGCTCACAGAGCCAGACTGAGGCTCACTAAGCCAGACTAAGTCTCACTGAGCCAGACTGAGGCTCACTGAGCCAGACTAAGGCTCCCACAGGGTTCAGTATTAATCACTGAGACTCAGAGCCAGACTAAGGCTCACGGAGCCAGACTAAGGCTTACTGATCCAGACTAAGGCTCCCAGAGCCAGACTAAGGCTCACAGAGCCAGACTAAGGCTCACAGAGCCAGACTAAGGCTCACTGATCCAGACTAAGGCTCACTGAGCCAGACTGAGGCTCACTGAGCCAGACTAAGGCTCACTGATCCAGACTAAGGCTCCCACAGGGTTCAGTGTTAGTCACTGAGGCTCACAGAGCCAGACTGAGGCTCACAGAGCCAGACTGAGGCTCACTGAGCCAGACTAAGTCTCACTGAGCCAGACTGAGGCTCACTGAGCCAGACTAAGGCTCCCACAGGGTTCAGTATTAATCACTGAGACTCAGAGCCAGACTAAGGCTCACGGAGCCAGACTAAGGCTCACTGATCCAGACTAAGGCTCCCAGAGCCAGACTAAGGCTCACAGAGCCAGACTAAGGCTCACAGAGCCAGACTAAGGCTCACTGATCCAGACTGAGGCTCACTGAGCCAGACTAAGGCTCACTGATCCAGACTAAGGCTCCCAGAGCCAGACTAAGGCTCACAGAGCCAGACTAAGGCTCACAGAGCCAGATTAAGGCTCACTGATCCAGACTAAGGCTCACTGAGCCAGACTGAGGCTCACTGAGCCAGACTAAGGCTCACTGATCCAGACTAAGGCTCCCAGAGCCAGACTAAGGCTCACAGAGCCAGACTAAGGCTCACTGATCCAGACTAAGGCTCACTGAGCCAGACTGAGGCTCACTGAGCCAGACTGAGGCTCACTGATCCAGACTGTCTCACTGAGCCACACTAAGGCTCACAGAGCCAGACTAAGGCTCACAGAGCCAGACTAAGGCTCACTGAGCCAGACTAAGGCTCTCTGAGCCAGACTAAGGCTCTCTCTCTCTCTGTGTGTTCTCCCCACCCCCAGGTGGCTGAGCCCTTTTAAGTCTGTGGGCAGAATGCCTCGGAGCTGCAACCAGCCCGGTTCAACACACGTCCATGTACCCTGAGCGTTACTCATTAGCCGTGTCTCATCCCATACAGAACCCAC